CACAGACAGTTGCTATCAGAATGCAAATAAATTGAAACAATAAAATAATAGTCTTTAATTGAAGTGTTGTTCTGTTTCATTTCCGTTACAGTTATTTTGAACAGGTAATGATAAAAGACCAGGTCATAGAAAATGATCAACTTTCATAAAAAAATACAGTTACAGAGACCATGCATGAGATGTGCTATAAGTCACAATAAATGTGCCCCATATTAAAGTAATGGATTAAGGCAACTGAATCACAAATGATGTAACTATGGAAAGGGATAAATAAACTAGTTAGATCATCACTTCAGACACCTGTATTTGGAGGACATATTTCCTTTATACATATTAAATATTGAGTTAAAAAAGAGAAAGATGAAAGGAACTCTCAGCAAGGCCCCTATCCACAGATTTCAAGGCCCAGTAGATTACTACTTCAGGCACAACTTAACAATGAAAGAAACATCCAAAGCAGAATTTCTACTGAATAAAACTGAAGAAAGGAATATGAAATGGAATAAATGATAAATTACATTGACTACCACTGAAATTGTTGCAATTACACTAACCACACCTCTTGTTTCCAAAACTGAAGCCGCAAAATAAGAAAACTCCAAAGTTTGGTTTCCCTCAAACCATCTAGTAGTTTAAATTGAGGCTTAAAAATCTCAATTACAATTGCTTTCTGTGAAGAGCTGAAGAAAGATTCCATATAAAGAAAACTGTTTGAAATCAAACATAAGGTTGTAAAAGATATGGCAATGCTCGTCTCATTTTAAACAGTCAAAGATGTGTAGAGTTGAGATGCTTTCAGGTTATAAAAGACACAAAAGTAAGATGGGAAAATTAAACCATAAGAGCACATGAGCAACATGGTAATTTATCCCATTTGAATTCTGGTATATAATAAACAAATATATTCCAGCAACATGGTAATATATCCCATTTGAATTCTGGTATATAATAAAACTTCCAGTTTTATAAAATAGAAATCTCCCTCCAGTACACTGTGGAAATGAGGAATTTACTTAAAGAGAGGGTAGCTATCTATGTATGCCTCCTATTATCAAAAAACATGCAAATGCAAAACAATCCATAACTATTATCAAAAACATGCAAATGCAAAACAATCCATAAATTATAGATGTAGTATAAAAAGAAAAGTTATGTAAATAACCTTTCTTACTGTTGACTTTTGGCCGTCTGGAAGTGTGATAGTATGAGGCCCAATACCATGGCAGCACTCATGGCATATAGTGTGCGTAAAGAAAGATTCAAAATCTACCAATCCTTTTTGTTCCTCGCTAATACAAACATCAGCTATGGGCTGAAGAATATGCTTGAACCTGATTAGGACAAACACGTGATATTTAAAGTATTTTCCAATACTAACAATAACATATTTTCAGAAAGCAACAATCATTATAACAGGTCTAGAAATAAGGTAAGAAATTATACTTTGCCTCTGAAACATTCTTCAGCATGACCATTGAAGTTCCTCGATCTTTTACTATACGCTCATCATTTGGTAAATTGAAAGCAACAGTTTGAGGACCCTTTACATCCTGATGTCAAATTAAAACCCATCAGCCTTGGTTTTCCCTCCTTTGAAATAGGAACTCATACATAAGGGGTGGGGAGAAGTACTTCAGCAAAAGCTTCCTCAAAAAGCTGATCTTTAAAGGATGGACCAACAGAGTTTTAGATCCCGGTATTGTAAACGGGATGGGTTCATGCCAAAAAAAGGTACAATAGGGAAACAACAAGAGGCACAGAGATTTTTCCTATATATATTCCAAGAACATACCCCTGCATTATAAAGAAGCTGGATGACCCGAATGGGAGCAGCATTGACATTTTTTGATTTGTATGCACTGTCCATTGGAAGATTTTGTTCCAAAAACTAAACAGATATACTGTGTTAGAAATCATGAATCTAAAAAGAGAAGTCCCAAGAAAAACAAGTACCAACTTTGCATGTACAATGACTCAATACCTGCAAATTATCACCAAACAGTTTTAGTTGAGCAGTCGCTTTGTCATCCCGGATACCAATGAATGCTTCAAATGTTGCCTGAGAAAACATAACAGAACTCATGAGTCATTTATGCTACCTGAAAGATTATGAATATGTCAGGAAAGAATTTAAGATCAATGCTACCTTGTAACCAAAAATTGTATCCTCGTACGTCTCATATGGACCTATGGTAACGTCCAGCTTAGAGTCCTAAATCCAGAGATAGTTTAAGACATGTCATGAATCTAGATGAGAATATTAAGAATTTAAGCACCTTAACAATGAAATGAAGATCTATGCCATTCTTTCTTGGAAAAACTCAACAAACACACAATTGATGTTATTAAAAGTAAATGGCTACATGAGAATAAAGACTTGGAAAATGAAAAAAATCCAATGATTGAGCCCTATCTTTTCATATTATCACGTTATTAGTTTATTTAGAAAGTGAAAACATCCAATTGCAAACATGGTTAGTTTTCATCTTTCCATGATAGGTACACTTTTTTGCTTTATTCTTAGCCTAAGCTATTTCCTTTTTCCTTGAGGAACAAAACAAACAATAAATCAGGTAAGTTATACAGACTGCTGAGACCTGTGAAATATTGCAGAATGACAGAACGTTTCCAAAAATTTTAAGTTAGAAGGCCTCAGCAGACCTTCAAGTGCCTCTCTTGCTCCTATTACAATTCCACCTCATTCAGAAAAAGGAGAGTCGTATTTAAAGAAAACAGTCACCATGATTCAGTGTCCATAACTATGTGATTGTGGTGGCCCAGAGGGAGCGGGAGTGTACACGAGCAATTCCCAGTATTAACAATCCCCCAAAATCATATCCGTTTCTCAGTATTAGAAAACTTGCCCATGCAAAACAATTCCTACAGAGCCCTTTTATCTCAAACTAGAGTGCTGATGACAAGGGGAAAAAAGTACCATGCACTGGATGTCATTCTTATCACCATACACCCAAACCAAAAACTATGAGTGTTTTCTGGAATGTCAAAGTATTCTGCATACTAACCAATTCCATCCAGGCTATATCTGATTCATAATAGTCATTTGAGAGGAATGCGTCAGCCTTGCTATGTAGTAACCTCTTCAAACTACACAGCAGAAGAACAAATTCAACAATCATCTGTAAGTGGAATAGTATTCAGTATGATGTGAACAAATGAGTTACTGGCAACAAGAAAAATCTAGTATAACTCTATATACCTAGGTGAGCCAGCCAAGTCCCCAGCTTCATGCAATAATTCTGCAGCTTTTCTAAGGAAGGAGTTATACTCCTTTGAGTAAGGAACACTATATAGATCATGGGCAGTTATTAAATGATTTGTCCCATGAACTGCATGATTAGGTAAAGAAGAATCCAAACTAAATTCACTGTGTCTTTTGATGACGGTGAAAAAGCCCATTGCATCATTTTGTTCTTTCTCTGTCAGACTGTCATTCCATAATTTAAATTCCTGTGACATAAGAGAAACTTATTATTATAGTAGGTGTAGAGGGGGAGAGATCTAAATGATGCCAGAAGCATCAAACAATTTGCCAGTCACAAATATATGATGGTGATCCTATTTTAAAAAAATTAACTTCAACTTGCATAATGATCCTCTCATGCATACCTTTTTGTCCATATCAGGAGGGTAAAAATTTGCACCAGGTGGTTTTAGCATAGGAAATGCTGCTTTAAATTCCAGACCCTTCCATCCACTGACTGGCTTTGTGGCTTCAGGAAGTAACATGATGGCTGAATCTGTGGTTGTTAAAAATGCCTCGTTTTCATCAAGACAGGACCTGTTGATCATCAATAAATTCTAATAGACAGGTATTTCTTTTAAAAAAATATATAAAAAGTTGGGGAATGGTGAATTCTTAGCCTGTTCCAAGCGCACACACATACGAGCTCAAAGAAGCAGCACCTCAGAAAAAGACTCACCAGGGGCTCTTATTAATTGAATAATACATCCATTTAAGCTTGTCTAATTCTGATGCACTAGCCCGCTCCTTCAACCAATCTCTTAGAGCTGGATTGCTGTACCAAACCTGATTAGAAGCAGAAAAAAGCAAGAGGCAACGCTAACAGTCATTCACAGTTGCTAAGTATTGCAATCATAAATAGGCTTATTGTATTGGATTTTACAAGAGACTAATTATCTGAATTTTGTAGGAAGGAGAAACAAATCATGTAAAGTTACACAGAAGAATGACATTCACATTACTGGTACAAAGTTTCAAATACAAATATCAACTATTTCACTGACAGGAGATCCAAATGAAAAGAATTTGGTCAAGTTTGCAACATAACATCAAATCACAAAGAAACTACTTCACTTTATTATGAGTCCACATCTTGAAATGTTTTATGAGTTACTTCTATACATAATGCCAAGTCATGTCTTGAATGCTTAAGCCAAAGTTCTTTCTGCTCAGTTCCCTTCTATGAGGGATTGTCTAACAACTTCAGAAGGCCTCTCACCCAGACCTTTCCATTGAACTCTCTGTTGAGTAAATTACAGGTCTTGTTTCCCAGCTTAGGGTTTTTCTCACTTTGTTTGCCCTGATCACCTTTGGCCTTCCCACCCCCAAAGGAAAAGAAAAAGGAAGGCGGACAAAATGACTGGGCATGCTTGTTACCAAATAGACCACTGCTCGAGCTAGAGAAACACTATAGTAACTATACAGATCATGAACTAAAATATCATTTCATGGGGCATGCGCAGGTAATATATTGGTATTCAAGTCTACCACATGGAAGACATCTGTAAACCAATAATTTCTGCAGATTGTATGAGTGTGTCAGCCTACTTCTTGCACATGTGCATTCACATTGTTTTGCAACAGTAAGTACCTGAAGGTAGAAGAGTTCATCCATAAGTTTTGCAGCCTTGATAAGTAAACCAAGAGTCTTCCTGTCTTTATTTGATAGACCTGTCAACTGAAGAAAGAAAGAAAAATACTAAATTCAATCCTATTTGCATTAAGAACAAAAAACATTAGCATTTAAGAAATAGTAGTAGCAATACCAATACTAGTATTCTAGTTATGAGAATGACAAAAAATTAAAAGAGCTATAAATTTCTTGATCGCAATTGCTTAAGAGGCAGCCTCCAATTACTCAATATTTTCCACAAGTACAAATTCAAATTAATGCAGGCTCAAGCATTCTTTCACAAAACTAACCCCTTCCTCTTTTATACAGTTTTTATCCCTTTCTGAAAGGAAGAAAATATTGTAAACTAACAAGTTAAACCATCAACTTATGTTCACAACTAAGTTACATAAACAGGGCATCCTTTGCCACAGATAGCGTAGCTACTAAGATATCAGAGAGATCAATGCCAATGAGAAGAGAAAGTAGACAACCTCAGCATCCAGAGAAACAGGAGCATATCGACAGAGTTGCTTTTGTAGACTCAAACTGCGCGCTACAGTGTTCTCTGTTTACCTAGGAAAATTAGATGAAAGACGTCATAAGCGGAAAGAAATTATTAGAAACCCTTCCATGAATTAAGGTGATAATATGCACACAAGTTGGCTTTTTTGGCAGGAAACTAGTACAAAGGTGTCCAAAAAAGTGTTTTACGCACCAGTTGACAACAAAAGGAAAGCTTTTCCAGATGCAGCTAAATAACATGGTGCAATATTCACAAACATGAGGGAGGAAAGCATGAACTCACCTTCAAAACTCTCAGCATGCACTCAGAAAAAGTTTTTGCATGTTGAGTCAAATGCTAAAGAAGAAATCAAATGTAACCATACAAATAAGGAGTAAATATGTTTCTTTGATTCTAGAATATATTGACATGATTCACTTAATTGTTACAGAACTTGAGACAAAAAGATAACCATAGGATGCATTCCACCACAGTTGAGAAAAGATGTTATAACTAGCATAGTTAATTTTACTAAAAAAGATACTTTTTAGCATACCTTCTCCTAATGATTTCAAAGAGTTGGCCATACTGTTCATCTACATCATAGGGCACATAATCAGGATCTTCTTTGACAAGTAAGCTTCTATATTCCTCGAACGAGATGTATTTAACAACAGATACTTCTGTTTCCTATCATAAAGTGAAATCATAAACAAGCATTCATATTTTTCACAACTTAATAGCAGTAACCAATTAATGAAATATTCATGTCTGAAATGATAGGCATGTCACTCTCCATCAAACCTTCAAATGAAAAGAGCAAATTATTTGGCAGAAAACAAAATAATGTGCATGTACCAGAACATGAATAAAAAATTCAGATATAAAACACCAGTTGGAAAAAGTCTAAACGTGCAAGAAAAAAGAAAACTTTCAAGCATAAACAAGTGGTATTCTCCAAATTGATTTTTTTGTCAAAACCAGTCGATAATAGATAAAACATGTATTAACACAAACCAACACTCATCAAAGGAGAATGAAGTGCACACATTTTCTTACCTGAAGAGTAAATGCTTCAAGAGGAATCGGATCTACAGTTGTCACAAGATACACATCATTGAACTCATTATTGATGAATTTCCCATCATTTATAACACTGCATTCAAATATAAAGTACAATCAATTAATACAAGCCTTGTTGCATTCTCCCAATCCCCCAGTCTACGTCAACGAGATCAATTAAATCAAAATCATAATATCACAATCCATTACACCAATTAATTTAATCGGTCCGGTCTCCATAGACCAGGTATCCTATAGAACTTGTACAGTTAAATAAGGAATTTGATGTACATATAAATAAATACTAACCACTCTTGAAGATAAATAAAAATATGTTCAAACGCATCCTTTGGAAGGCTAATGCCTAGCTCTTCCTGAAGCTCTCTCCTAAACGCATAACAGTAAGAAAAATTAGTTTAATAAAAAAAAAGTTATTCTTATGCAGCAAGAAATTAATTGACAAGATAATAAAATAAGAAAAACTGTTGCAAATTGACTCACTGAGCGGACACAAGTGACGAATCGCCAGCAGAAATATGGCCGGCGCTTGAGATATCCCATCGGCCTGGCCAGGAATCCTTGCAATCGGCGCGACGTTGAAGAAGCAATTCTTGTGTGCTTTCGGAGTAAATCCACACGTGAACTGCTCTGTGGTAATCTCCATCTCTATGGACTTCTCCTCTAAATTTCCAAAAAATAAAAATAACAAAAAAATAAGAAGAATCACAATTTCTTTTTCTCAGCAACCAAGCAACAAACAAAGTAACGGTAAAAAATAAAAGGAATTTTTTTAAAAAAATAAAATTGCTCTGTTTTAATTTTGAGTGCTATAAACGATGTCGCACAGGAGCGTAATTAGAGGCATTAATTAGGTGTTTAATCAAAACATACGTAACATTAAGATGATCGATTAAGAGATAGAGAGAGGAAGAAGAGAGATTAGTGATTGCCTGGGCTTTGAAATGCCGGTTTTTTGACCAGTTTTGTTGAGAACGTCGAGGCGCTCTTCTTCCACGACTACAGCTGATGATGCAGCAGCAGCGTCTTCCATTTTTCCTTTTCTCTTTTATCTGAGAGGCAATAAAAGGGCTAGCTTGTTCGGCTTGTATCCTTTTTTGATGCCTATAAATTGTTAGAGAAAAAAAGAAAAAATTCGAGTGACACACTATAGCAGGATATGCCAGCTGCCTGCGTTTTCTCCAAACCCAGTTTCTTTGTATTTAAAATATATATATATAAATGGGCTTTTCAAACATCAATTTGTATCCTGTACTTGGTTTTGGTCAATTGCATCCAATTTGGCTGAAATGTGATTGAATCCTAATGAGTTGTTAAGAAAAATATATTTCATGTCTGTACAAGTAAGAAAGGAGTTGATAGAGAATGTAAAGATTAAATGCATGCCTTTTGAATTAAAATAAATGTTAGGATTTAGTATCATACTAGAAAGATATGTGGTGCTTTGTTGCGGGTAGACTGCCTTTTTTTTTTAATTTTAAAAAATAATATTTTATATTTTTTAACATGTTTTAAAATAAATAAAAATTTTAAAACTCAAATTATAGATTATACTGGATCTATTAAGATGATTTAATTTAATTATATAATAAAAAATAAAAAATACACCAAATCAAAAGAGAAAATGATGACAAACAAGGAAAAATGATTGTTAAACAAAAATATATGAAGTTGAATTTTAAGATAACATAATATTAAAAAAGTATGAAAAAATTGAAAAATAACAACAAAAAAATAATATAACTTGAGTTAGTATAGCAAACTCGCGATCTTAGTTGTGATGTTGAGCCATTCTCATAGAAAATATATAAAGAAAATAAAAAAATTAAATTCAAACTCAATATTGATGAATGAAATTAAAAAAATTGATGTAAAAAAATATTTTTTTAAAAAATTAATAGTAATTTAAGTTAATATTGCATACTCTTAATTTAGGTTATGAGACCGCACTAACTGTATTGAAAAAAAAAACATTATAAAGTATAATTTTCAATAATTAAATTTTGAAGGATATTTTTTAATTTTAAAGAAATAATCAAAAGCAAAAAAAATCAATTAAAAAAATGAGAACCGGATATAACATAAAAATAAAATGAAATAAAATGATGCAAGGAGCTTAGGCTAATGAGAGTTAGCATGTCAAATTCACCACTGCAGTTGTGAGACTAGGTTATCTTTATAAATAGATAAAAAGAATTCAATTTTTAATAAATTCAATATTAAAAGAAGAAATTAAAAAAAAATTGTATAAAAACAAAAGATTCATCAATCAAAAATATATTATTAAATTTTTTGATCTTGTATATTTGATCTTCCTCAATCACGCTTTGACAAATTCTCAGATGTTCTGATATATTCTTTTTACTGATATATTTTTTTATATTTTATCCTAATGTTGTTTTATTTTTTGTATTTTTTGTATTTGTTTACACGAGGCACCAAAATGAATAACAACAGCTGGCCATGATGGCCATGAGGGGTTTTGGTGTCGGATATATTCTGTATTGGATGAATAGGAGCTCTGTTTGTGGTCCCTCCTGGTTGATGAAAGGCTCCCCATTTCTTGCCTTTATTCGTCTCTTTTTATCGTAGAGCAAAGGTTGGAATTGACGTAGTTTAGCATAATTTATAGGACTTGATTCTTGGAGACTTGATTGGAGATAAGTTGGAATAAGTTTAGCATATTAGAATAAAAAAACAGAAAAAGAGTTGGAATAAGTTGCTTTAGAAAAGAAAAAAACTTAATAATAAATAATAAAAAAAATAAGCCCATAAAAAATGCAACACAACTAGTAGATCATCAAAGCCCACTTATATAACGTCAGTAAATAATGGTTAACAATCACAATGTGTTAGATAAAAGTCTACATGAAGGAGTAATTATGAGGTAATTGGAATTGATCAATCTAATATTTATTTTTCTCTAAAGTGACAAAAGGCTGTAAAAATTGATATTATTGAAAAAACAAAACACAAGAGTTAACAGAGCTTTCAAAAAAACAGAAGATATTGGTGTAAAATGGATGTCAAGATATGATTAAAGGAAAATTCTTCATTATTAAATTGAGCGGGAGGGATTAATAGATAATCCTAGATAATGTATAAATAAATAGTTGATAAAAAAAAAAAAAGATTTGTGTTAGTAACTGCCAGAAATGGTAAAAACAAGCTCGTAATTACCTGTGCTTTTTGTGGATAGCTGTGAAGATAACACTTCAAAACCACAGATGAAAACTTTTCGATAGTGTTAGGCGTGAATCGATCACACTTCTTAGAAACTTTTCTTTTCTTTCCTGGTGAAAAAGTTCCATATTTCCTTTCAACTTCTGGGTTGAGTTCATTGGATTGGTAAGCGCGGAAAAGTACTATTCCAAATCAATAAATTGCAGGGAACTTTCTGGGTACAATACCTAAATAAAAGTGAAAGCAATTGGTTCATAATTTAAAACTGTATCATGCATAGACATGACCAGTTTGATTATTGATTAATTTCTGATAGAAAGTGCATTCCAAGTACTTATCAACCAGATATTCCACATTATAAATAAAAAAGTTATGGCACTCAAGAAATTGGCTACTTTTCTTCCCCTGTTTTATTCATAGAAACGTCTTCTGAACGTTGTCTTTCTATAATTTTTTTTTTTTTTGTTAAGAGTTCAAGGAAATTCAAGTGGCTCAAAGAGAACAGTTCCAATCATCTTCGTAATGGGAAGACAAAAGTCATCATCATTCAATTGATAAACATTTTGGTAGTCTGGTCAAGCTCGGAAGGTGGAAAGAAACATCCTAACTCTTAATTTTACAAATAATTGAGTTACAAAAATATGAGTGCATGGCTCCAAAGGCTGCCGGTAAATAGAATTTCTTGTTGAATTTGTGGAAAATGATTTGGACACAGTTTACTGGTACTCTTCTCTGTCACAATCAGTGATTTTTTTCTTGGGATATAGTTAATCCTAGCTAGTTGAATCAAATAAAGATCATACCGCTCTCTCTCTCTCTCTACTTCCATTATTGAGCTCAAACTCTTGGCACCTAAATTTGTAATAAAAGGGGAAAGCATGATTCCTCATTTTGTGTCTCTAATTTTTTTTCCTGCTATTCTAGTGCTTGAAATTGCAACTGTATCAGCACTTATAGCAAGGCCTAATTAATTTTACAGAAATCTATGGAAGCATTAGCATTGCTTTTCCATCTGAAAAAGGAAACAATTGCTTCATGAATAATTAAATGGTTGTCAGTTTTTGGCAACAAATCAGCTTTGACCAATTCAATGATTTCAATCATGGCCAGGATTATTTTTTAAAAAATAAAAAATCAAGAAAAATAATTTTGAGGAATTTTAATTTTGATATTTGATAATGTCCTAAAATATTAAAATAACTTAGAAAGAAAGTGTTTGTGTTGAATAATTAGTTAATCACTTAATTCTAATAATTTGATCTATTCTCCCGAACCAACCAATCACTATTATCGATAGCTAATGTATATTTGATAAGCCAATGATCGATAGCTAATGTATATTTGATAAGCCAATATAACTAAAAACAAATACACATAATTTTTTTTTAATAGATACGAGAAGTTTCAAATGCTTAAATAAATATTTATTTACATCAATCAAGAAGATTAAAGAGTCACAAGGCTATAAGGTACATCCAATACCATAATTCCTGATAAATCTTCATCCATCAGTATTAGAAAACTCAAAGGACTAAACTAATATAATAAACTGAAAAACATTAAATTTAACTCTCTACAACTTTTTTGAAGTTGAAGAAAGCACCTTCTGTTATTTTAAGAATAAAAAAAATATTTTTTCTTTTGCTTGGAAGGTAAAGGAAAGAAAGTGAAGGGAAATTGATCATTCTTTTAAGCACACCAAAGCTGTGGAAGAAGAATATCATCTAGTTTTCTTCCTTCAATTTTTTAAAGTAGACTAAATGACAAAAAAATACAAAATTTTATTCTACTATATATTCTCATTAATGTAAAACAATAAAAATAAACCCCTATTTTTGCAAATGGTTGATTGAATAATAATGAATAGAACCAAAATGTAACAATTTTCTTAATTGTAAAAATTTAGATCTAACCTAGTTTAATTTAAGTTTCGACTTATTAATTTATCAAGGCAAATCAAATCAATTTTTTAAATAACATTGTTTTTATAAAAAGTTAAAAAATAAATTTTATAATTGATTTCATCTAAATTAGGAGTTAACCCGTTAAATCCCCTGCGTTTAACAAATTTAATTTTAAAAATGGTTCAAAAACAAATACGGGCAAAATTCTAGCTCAACAAAACACCATGTCAACCTGCCATACCATGTTTAAAACAAATCTTCACGTTTAGGGGAAAAAAAATTACTTCACTGGGTTCGAAGTTTTAAAGTCGTTAGAAGGCAACTATTCGCGGCTTAGAAGTATCAGATGATTTTCTCATGAATACAAAAGTCTGCTAATATTGGGTTGACTAGGAGACCACGAAAGTGCAAAGAAATGTCTTCAATATTTCCCTTCCTCTTTAAATGTGGATAAATGAACTTGAAATCAAATTATATCTGGAAAAAAAACCCACAAGAATGGAGAAAATGGTTTCGAAATTGGTGTTTAAAATGAATTTGCTGATGTTAATGTTTCAGTTAGCAAAAGCAGCAGCACCTGTAGCGAAGTTTGGCTGTCCAGATCGATGCGGAGACATTACCATTCCTTACCCTTTTGGAACTGGAAAAGACTGCTACAAGGACGAACGGTTCGCGGTTGAATGCGATGAGACTGCCAACCCTCCTCGAGCTTTTATAAGTCGAATCAATGTGGAGGTGCTGAATATTTCAGTTGAAAGAGGATTGGCTACCGTCAAAAGTCCAGTAATATCCTTCAATTGTACGGGCAGGGAAGATGGTGGATCTCTGGATCTCACTGGATCTCCCTTTGTTTTCTCCGATTTCTGGAATGTGTTCGTTGCAGTTGGTTGTGATACTCGAGCTTTCCTGAGCGGGATTGAGCCGCAAGTCCTCGGTTGCGTGCCTACATGCGGTAACCAGCGGAGTAACGTTAGCTTGCAAGAAAATAATATGTGTTCAGGTCGAAATTGCTGTCAGGCTTCAATCCCTTCACTCCCTCAGGTTTTCAAACCAACATTAGTTTCTACTAACGTTGATCAAGGTAGAGAAGCATGCAAGCTAGCCGTTTTGGTGAATAGGACATGGTTTGCATCGAATTTGAGTGATCCATTCGCACTGCAGTATAACGATTACGTTCCAGCGAACTTGGGTTGGGTGATGAACATGAATGATTCTGATATTCCCATT